CAGTTGACTGGTGAACCAGTTGCTATGATGTCCACTGACCACCAGGAAGCAGACGCTCTGACCAGTAGGTTAGCTTGCTGCTGGGGTCTGGCCAATCCAGACTGAGCAAGATGGGCCAGACAGGCCCTGGAGCCCTCCCGTGGTGTTCTCCCCCCCCCCCCCCCCCCCCCCGGCACTGACTGTGTCCCTCCCTTGGCCTGGCCTGTGCCCTCTCGCAATCCGGATCCCTTGGGAGATGTGGGAGAGCTGGTTTTGGCCCGATCCCCCAGGCCAGGCTGAGGGACCCCACTGGTGCACAAGTTTGTGCACCAGGCCTCTAGTAAATTAATACTCTGACATCCAGATTTATTTAGTCTCTGTAAATTCATTAACTTATATAACCTGAGTACCTGCTGTTCTTTTTCTTTTTAAATACATTTTTTTCTTGATTTCAGAGAGGAAGGGAGAAAAGGAGAGAGAGAAACATCAATGATGAGAGAGAATCATTGATCGGATGCCTCCTGCATGCCCCATAACAGGGATTGAGCCCACAACCTGGGCATGTACCTGACCAGAAATAAAACCTTGACTTCCTGATTCATAGGTTGACATACAATCACTGAGCAAAACCAGCGATTTTCTTTATGTGGGTCTACAAAAACAAAATTTTGGAGTTTTCAAAGCTGAGGACCCAAACACTAAAGTTGTATAAATCTATCACCATAAATGATATTTTGTGAGGTCGCCTGGCAGTACCACTCTTACCCCTAACTTATTCTCTTTCTAATAAGGAAAACATGAACAATAATATAAAGAGTTTTATCATATTCTAGATCAGTAATGCAATGGCCGAGTTTACAAAAAAGAAAGAAATCTAGTATTCTACTTAAATAGCATGTGTCCAGTTCAGGGAGAACAGTTATTCTGGAGAGCATGTCAGATAAAATAAGATGCAAAAGTAATATCTGAATCATAAATTATTTAAGAAAGTTTTCAATTTTATTAAACTGTTAAGAATAGATACTATATTTGATCTTAGCCAAAAGGCCAAGAAGTGATTCAATTTTATTACTCATATACCTACATTTATGTTTCAAACATATCTTTTTATTACATAAGGCAATAGTTTATTCTAAAAGTTGAAACTTCAAAGACTCTTTGCTCTGTGTAGTGATTTCTACTAACAAAATTTAATAATATTATTAAAGGGAATTTTTATTTTGCAAATAAGGAAGAAAAATATGAACATACCTCTGAAATACAGCAAAAAATAGTTATTTCATAGAAAAGAAATTAAAAGATATTTGAAGAAAGAAATGCAATTTTTAAAAAATAGCATTTTTCTATTGTCAAGAAGACAGAACTCAGTCAAGTGCAGGCGGGACCCAGAAAAAAAGGGCATTCTCATATAATGTTGGGAGTGAAAAATGTTCCAAAATTTTGAGAGGTCAATTTAGCACTACCTATCAGAAGCTTATGGTGAACAACATATCCTTTAATCTAGGAGGACCACGTAGAGTAATTTTATCCTAAAGAAAAAATTACAATGTATATCAAAGATAAGATTGTTTAAAAGACTGAAAAACTATAAACATTATAGGACTGGCTGAGTAAATGGAAATACACTCAAGAAGCTGCAGATACTAATTTATTGGCAGCCAAGATGATGATATTTTAGGTAAATGAAAAAACAAACTGGACCGCAAAACAGTATGTACAATACAATTTGATTTTTTGTTAAAACAATAATAATGTAAAGAAATGATTTATTTAGTGATAATTATGTGCCAGGGAATGTGAACAACACATTTTTAAAATCTGGAAGGATACATACCAAATGTCAACATTGGTTTTCTCTGGGTGATAGTAATTTATTAGTGGTTAGTTTTTATATTTTTGTTTGTCTTTTCTTATTTGTCTTTATAAACATACTAGAGGCCTGGTGTACGAAATTCGTGCATGGGGGTGGGGAGGGAGAAGGGTCCCTCAGTCCGGCCTGCACCCTTTCCAATCCAGGACCCACTGGGGGATGTTGAACATCCCTCTTGCAATCCGGGACCACTGGCTCCTAACCGCTCGCCTGCCTGCCTGTCTGATCACCCCTAACCACTCTGCCTGCCGGCCTGATGCCCCTAACTGCTCCCCTGCTGGCCTGATGGCCCCTAACTGCCTCTGTTTACCAGCCTCATCGCCCCCTAACTGCTACCCTGCTGGCCTGATTACCCCAAACTACACTCCCCTGATCACCCCTAACCATTCTGCCTGCCGGCCTGATGCCTCCCTGCTGTCCTGATCACCCCTAACCACCTCTGCCTCAGCCCCTGCCACCATGGCATTGTACGGAAGAAAGTCTGGAAGATGTCTGATTTAATTAGCATATTATCCTTTTATTAGTAGAGATATTATGTATTATAAAAATATCAACAAAAATCTATGTGCTAGGATCTATACTTGTGGGAAATGTGACTCTTTCAGACCGATCTTACTCCGTTTTCTTTTCTTTTTAAGCACAATACTTGAGATACAAAATACACAGGCTAATACATAATAAAGAGCCAAACAATACGCATTAAAAATTACTTTAAGGTTAGTTAGTATTGTATAGCTAGCTTATTTTTAGTGATTGGTCTTTTCTCTACATATCAGCGTTATAGAGGCATTCCACTAGGCTTTGGGTACTTTTTCCACTCAGCTCCAGGTTATTTCAAAAACAGTAATGGTTAAAATTTATTGAGTGTTGAAAAGGTACCTTTATGATCCATAATAATAAAAGTGTAATATGCTAATTAGACCAGACGTCCTTCTGGATAAAGCCGCGGCTGTGAGGGAAGCCTGAGTCCTGGGTGCCTGCCTGCGACCGGAGGGAAGCCCAGGTCCCGGGTGCTGGAGGGAAGCTGGTGCCGGTAGTTGGGGGAAGGAAGGCTTACTCTTGCAGGAATTTTGTGCTTTGGGCCTACAGTATTATATTAAACTAGAGACCCGGTGCATGAATTTCATGCACCGGCCGGTGGGGGCGGGGGGAGTGGAGGGGACCTCAGCCAAGCCTGCGCCCTTTCACAGTCTGGGAGCCCACATGGGATGTCATTTTTAAAAAATCACCCTGTACTTAATTTTCTTACTAACTCCTCTGTTTAAACTCCCCTCACTCTCACATTCTGTTTCTTCTTTTTATTTAACTATTTTCCTGGCTTCATCCCATTTTAGCATAATTCTCTTTCCTTTCTTTCCCTCCCTCCCTTTGAACCTCCCGCGGCCCCTCTCCCTCCCTCCCTCCTCCCTTCATTCCCGGTGTCTGTCTCCTTCTTACTCCTCCCATCCCCGGCCCCACTCGCCTTTCCCTTGTGAGCCTGAACCCTGCCTCCCTCCTTCCTTCCCTATTACCTCCCCCCCACCCCCCCTGCCCCCCCCCCCCCCCGCCATGTTCACTGGTTTCTCTTTTAAACCTTCCCCTTTTCTCTCTGGGACCTGCTTCCAGCCCTTCCTGAGCGCACTTAGATATTAAAGCTTCCGTTTGGGGGGCGTTAACCCCCAGCCCAGGGCCCAGCTCTGGCCAGGTCTTTGCCATCCCCCCCTTCCCTAGCCTCCCTGCCGTCCTCCTCCCATTGCCTGGGAGGAGGATGCCCCAACTTCTAGTCAACAAAGTACATTTAATGAGCCATCAACTTAACCCTGGGCAGGGTCTTTGTGGTCCAGCCCTCGGGGACGAAAACGGTACCCTCCTTAGTGTCCGACTCCACCCAGCTAAGCTGCGCTTCCTCTCCCAGTGCGAGGGTGGCTGAGCCCATGCAGCCCGGGTGCTGCTGCCACGGAGCCGGAGCACCTCCGCCTGGAAGGCCTCCAACCATCCACCCCACTGTCCCAACAGCCTGTGCTGGGGCCACCGCCCTCCTCCCACGTCTGGGCGGGGCTTCCCGCTCTGCACCACCTGCGCCCTGCCCCTCGCCGGGCACAGCTTCTCTGTCCCCCCATGTGCAGCCCCTCATTTTCTTCCCTTTTCCATTCCAGCGTCTTTTTCTTGTTCCCTTCCTGTATTTCTGTTTCTCCTCTTGGCCTGTCTGCATGCAGGCCTGCCTTCCTCTCCCTCTCCTTTCTTATCCCCTTCTGCTGTATCCTATTCTACCACCCCAGGCCTCGCAGCTGCCTGAGCAGGGGGCGGGGACACAGCCTGCTGAATGGTCATTACATGACGGTGTCTTGAACAATTTGCATATTCCTCTATTATTAGTATAGATAACTTGTCAAAAATTTAAGATGGCTAACAAAAAAACAAAGAGTATACAATAAAATCACTCTCACAAAATCATTCTCACCCAAAGGGAGGACATATGCTAACCATCAAAAGAGCTAATATAAATACTTAACTGAGTATCAAATTTGGGTCTGAGTGTCATAGAAGCAAGAACAAAAGGAACACAATAATAGGCACATAGTTTTCATTCTAAGAAATGACCAAATCCTTCAGAACAGAGAGACCTTTTCTTTCTCTAAAGGGTAATTCTTGCTGAGCCACAATGGCTTGGTGGCTGAACCTATGAACCAGGAGGCCACGGTTCGATTCACCATGAGGGCACATGCCCAGGTTGCGGGCGCAATCCTCAGTGGGGGACCTGCAGAAGACAGCTCATCAATGATTCTCTCATTATTGATGTTTCTCTCTCTCCCTCTCCCTTCTTCTCTGAAATAAAAAAAATATATATATATTTTTAAAAAGGTAATTCTTGTATTTGCTTTGGCAGTGCATAAACAAAAATTAGATTATATGGCCCCTATACAAGGATGACACACACATTCATGAATTAGTCCCCATGGTCAAGGTTTCAGGGAGCCCAAGTATCATCTCATAAACTACTTGCTGTTATAAGAGATAAATGAAGAAATCATTCAGCCAATTAATACAAGACATTTCTGCCAATCATTGCTAAAAGTGAATGATAGAGCCCTGGCCAGTGTGGCTCAGTTGGTAGGGCAACATATGGTGCACCAAAAAGGTTGCTGTTTCCATTCCTGGTCACGGCAAGTACCTGAGTTGTAGGACCAATTGCCTTTAGGGGGTGTGCAGGGAGGAGCAGATCAATGTTCCACTCTCACATTGATGTTTCTCTTTCTCTTTCTCTTTTCCTTCCTCTATAAAAAAAAAAATCAATGAAAATATATTTTTTAAAGTGATGATTACTATGTATTACTCTCAATCATTAGCCTCAATGACTGTCTAAAGTAGGCAGGGTAAAGGAGGCATATTATTTTTGCTGGGCAAAAGGTATAAACTGGTACATGTGATCACCCTTGTTATCAACCTAATAACAAATGGTAAAGACACAAAGTAAAAATAGCTCACTTATTTCTATCAGAATGAAATGAACATTGGCCACTTATTTGATGAAGATGAAATAGGAAGTTTACTATTCCTAAAGCTGAATTTGTTCCAGCAAGACAAGGTTAGCTTACTAAACATGCTTGGCTTTAAAAAGGTACCTGCTGAAAGTACTAAAGCAGGGATGAAAAGTAGAAGCACCTAGCCACTGAAGGTTTCATGAACCTGAAGGTGTAAATAAATCTGAAATGGCTAGCTTTATAAAACTAACAAGGTAATTTTTTAAAAAAAGTATAGATATTAGTAAGTGATCTCTAATTTTCAACAAATTGGTAAGTAATCTCCCAATCTTCAACAAATCTAAAGACTGATAAATTTGATGTCAATCCCCAGCAAAATTACAGACTGTATTATTAGAAGAAAAACAACTTAAAAAAAATATACGATAGCTAATTACTAAGAACTAGTCTGGACAGAGTATATCATATAATACTAAACTTCATATTTCTTGATAGGGTTACAACATTGTTAGTAAACTATATACTACATACTATATGATTTTCAAAAAGTTATTGACCAAGCTTTAGGGATGATGCTCAAACACAAATGGAAAATGCTGGCTAGAAGGATCAAATGTAAACATAATATTCACTTTTTGGAGTAACTGCTTAAAACTTACAAACTTTAAAAATCTGCTATCCTTCCATGGCCGAGTAGCTCAGTTGGTTAGAGCCGTGGTCGGCAAACTGCGGCTCGTGAGCCACATGCGGCTCTTTGGCCCCTTGAGTGTAGCTCTTCCACAAAATACCATGTGGGGGCGCGCACGTACAGTGCGATTGAAACTTCGTAGCCCATGCACAGAAGTCGGTATTTTGTGGAAGAGCCACACTGAAGGGGCCAAAGAGCCGCGGTTTGCCGAGCCGCAGTTTGCCAACCACTGGAGAGCATCACCCCAGAATGCCAAGGTTTCGGGTTGGATCTTCGACCAGGGCACATATAAGAATCAACCAATGGATGCATAAATGGGTGGAGTTACAAATCTCTCTCTCTCAATTCAATTAAAAAGAAAAAAGAAATTCTCATGAAATTAAAAAAAGAAAGAAACCTGATATCTCAGTCTATCCCAAAGCCTGGATGCCCATATGCCTTATTCCTACAGACAGGCACTAGTCATCCTTTGTGAAGATACAAAAAGAAAACTAATAAAAGATGTATTTCATTATAACCACTTGAGTATCACCATATGATGTCCAATGGCCTGTTTCTCCTTAAAACTAAATATCCCTAATTACTTTAATCATTCCCTCTGTGATATGATTTCTAAACTTAGTCTGGGCATCCTGATGACCATGCCTCTAGACCAGCGGTTCTCAACCTGTGGGTTGCGACCCCTTTCGTGGTCGAACGACCCTTTCACAGGGGTTGCCTAAGATCATCCTGCATATCAGATATTTACATTACGACTCATAACAGTAGCAACATTACAGTTATGAAGTAGCAACGAAAATAATTTTATGGTTGTGTCACAACATGAGGAACTGTATTTAAAGGGCCAGAAGGTTGAGAACCACTGCCTTAGACCATCGGAAAACACATATATAATTACATGTTGTATTTGTGATTAATCACTATGCTTTAAGTATGTTCAATTTGTAACAATGAAACTGGGGGTCACCACAACATTAGGAACTGTATTAAAGGGTCACGGCATTAGGAAGGCTGAGAACCACTCGTCTAGTAGAAAGATACCTACAACAAACAAAAAGCCAAGTATATAATTGGATTAATTTTAATTACCAATGACTGTTTTATACTGAGTTGACAGTCTTTTTCTCATGAACTGAGTCAAATTGTCTTACCACTTGTACAACTCATTTTTCTAAACTTAAATTGGTTTATCATATTCTAGTTAATATAACTTACTTTGAGTCTAATATTTTAAAAAGTCACTTAACATTTTACTGTCTTCTCCTAAATTAACAGACCGGGGGAGACTTAAAAACTATCTTAGGCCGAAACCGGTTTGGCTCAGTGGATAGAGCGTCGGCCTGCGGACTGAAGGGTCCCGGGTTCGATTCCGGTCAAGGGCATGTACCTGGGTTGCGGGCATATCCCCAGTGGGGGATGTGCAGGAGGCAGCTGATCGATGTTTCTCTCTCATCGATGTTTCTAACTCTCTATCTCTCCCTTCCTCTCTGTAAAAAATCAATAAAATATATTAAAAAAAACCAAAAAACTATCTTAGGATAATAAAAAGCTGCTATCAAGTATACACTTTTTCCAGAGGCAGAAGTGGAACCAACAGATAAAATGGAATCAAGACTTGGCACACTAAAAAGAGAAAAGTTTCTTATAGAGTTGTCCAACAATGGACCAGGCCAGTTCAGAGAGTGTGCTATGAGATCGATACTTGACATCAGAAGCATTCTTCAGGAATCTGTTGGGGTAAGGGAGTCAGATGAGATAACGGTGTATTAGTCAATTTATGGTGTGATCGTTAACAGCTAGAGTTCACTGAGTTAACACAGAGACTTCTGTCTAACTTGCACTACACATTTGATACCAGAGAGGTGACTCCCTAGTAAAGATATTAATAAAGTATGGCCCACGGCTGTTTTTGTATGTCCCTTGAGCTATGAATGCCTTTTTCATTTTTAAGGATTTGTGGAAACAATATAAAACAACAAAAAAGAACATATGACAGAAATGGTACATGGCCTGTGAAGCCTAAAATATTTACTATCTGCCTTCCTTGTGGTGACTCAGAAATTCAGGCTACTTCCATCTTGTGACTGACTCCTTGTTTCTTAACTCTAATTGGCTCTGCTAAACCAACACCTATCTTACATGATAGTTTCTTCTACTAACACTACAGAATGAGTCATCTGGCTCCACTAACTGCAATAGGGCTGGGAAGTGTATTGTTTCAACTGCTTAAGGAAGCAAATGACTAGCATGGGAAAGCATTGATGTCTCTGTAACTTGCGTATTTTATTCTAATTCAAAGATTCTACATCAAACAAAATGATTCTAAATATTTCAACTATAAAAATCTTAATGAAATAGTTTTAAACATCACAGCTGTGGTAAAGTAAAAATGCTCTAGAGTTAGAACTATGACAAAGGAACCTCATCATAATCTGCAGCATGTCTAGATTAAATTCTTCCGTTTACATAGCCTTCAATTTTTAATATGTCCACAATGTTACTACTGAGTCATTTGAATGTTTAACTATGAGGAACTGCAGGAGTTTTTCCAAAGTTACTATGCCATTTTATTATATTACAGCTGGAATATGAGGATTCCAATTTCTCTACATTCTTAACACTTATTATTTGACTTTTTGAGTATAGACATCACAGTGGGTTTGAAGTGGCATCTCACTGTAGTTTTTTTTTAATTTAATTTATTTTTTTTTTTTAATATTTTATTGATTTTTTACAGAGAGGAAGGGAGAGAGATAGCCAGAAACATCGATGAGAGAGAAACATCGACCAGCTGCCTCCTGCACATCTCCCACTGGGGATATGCCCACAACCCAGGTACATGCCCTTGACCGGAATCGAACCCGGGACCCCTCAGTCCGCAGGCCGACGCTCCATCCACTGAGCCAAACCGGTTTCGGCTTTAATTTTTTAAAATATATTTTTATTGATATCAGACAGGAAGGAAGAGGGAGAAATAGAAACATCAATGATGAGAGAGAATCATCAACTGGCTATCTCCTGCACATCCCCCACTGGGGATCCAGTCCGCAACCCAGCATGTAGGCTGATGCTCCATCCACCAAGCCAAACCGGCTGGGCTCACTGTAGTTTTGATTTGCATTTCCTTGAAGGGTGAAGATGTTTATTTACTTTTTAAGTTGACTCTTGAATGTGACAGAAGTTTTATGTCACCAGCACAAAGGAGGATGTTGTATATTTGCTAGAATAGGATGAACATAAACTTCATGTTTGTACTAATTTGCAAGGGCTGCCACACAAAATCCTACAATTGGGTAGGCTGAACAACAGAAATTTATTGTCTCACAGTTGTGAAGGCCAGAAATAAAAAATCAAGGTGCTGGCAAGGTTGGTTCCTTATGAAGTATACATTCCAGGCCGCTCTCCTTGTCATGTAAATGGCGGTATTCATGTTTATGTGGCAATTTCCCTACATAAGTATCTGTGTCCACATTTCCCTTTTTATAAAGACACCGGTTATATTGGATTAAGTGTTCACCTGCTCCAGTATGACTTCATCTTAACTAATTATACCTGCAATGACCCTATTTTCAAATTAGGTCACATCTGAGGTACTGGGGGTTGGACTTCAACATAAGAATTTGGGGAGGGGCAATTCAACACACAGCAATATTAAAAAAATTTTTTTAAAAACATATATTTTACAGAGAGGATGAGAGAGGGATAGAGAGTTAGAAACATCAATGAGAGAGAAACACCGATCAGCTGCCTTCTGCACACCTCCCACTGGGAATGTGCCCGCAACTAAGGTACATGCCCTTGACCAGAATCAAACCTGGGAGCTTTCAGTCCACAGGCCGACACTCTATCCACTGAGCCAAACCGGTTAGGGCATAGCAATATTTTTTAAATTTATGGTGTAAAAAAGGCAACGTAGAGGAAATACATAGCCCTGTCTTAGATTTGCTATTAAAACTAGATCTTGCGCCCTAGGTGGTTTGGCTCAGCGGATAGAGCGTCGGCCTGCGGACTGAAGGGTCCCAGGTTCGATTCCGGTCAGGGGCATGTACCTGGGTTGTGGGCACATCCCCAGTAGGGTGTGTGCAAGAGGCAGCTGAATCGATGT